GTATCCATGATGAATGGCTATTCATGGCTATTCAATATGGAAATGTAAACAATCGAATTAATAATCTAATTTAAAGCATTTGCAAGCTATCCTATCCTTGTCCTCTGAGCCCTGTAGTTTTACATCCAATTTTCAAATAAATATCATTCTTTATTTGGAGGACAGTCATATGGATGCTCATCAGTTGATGACGAATTCAACCATAACGAAATCATCCGAAATTCGGCAGCATATTGTTAAAGGGCTCAAGCAATACAATAATCAGTTGATGTATTGCGGATGTTTTCGTTCAGTGCACTTCTCTTTCTCACGAAGGGGCTGCATTTCGAGTGTCACTTCCTTGAATCGGATGACTGGCAACGAGTTCGTTTAATATTGAAATTTATTTTTCTCAATTTTTTCCGTTTTTCATCTGCGAGAACTTGAAACTGTAAACAAATAAATCTCAAAAGTCATAAATGCAGGGATGCCAAACTCATGGGATACTGAGACTGATACCTTGATTGTCATACTTCGCCACGTTCGGCACAACGCTTGACCCAGCTTTCGGCACATATAATCTACTCGGCACAGATTGAGATGTGCTGAGTTGAACACCTCTTGGTTTTTTTCACCAAAAATCCTTAGATTAATTGTTTTCAAAAATAAGTTCATGAAAAGCCTCACTGAACGAGAAGTTTGTTTTGATTCATTGTTTTGATGTTTTGTAAGATTGGGCACTACAAAGGTGTTTCAGAATGATAAAAACATATTGAAGCCTATTGTGCGTCGCGAGTGAGGTGAGGTGACTCGCTGTCACTAGTGAGGTGACAATGGTCACCGTGAGTGAGGTGACTCTCCATTTGATTTGAACGGAGAGTCATCTCACTCGCGGTGACTTATGTCACCTAACTAGTGACAGCGAGTCACCTCTATAGTTGCTATATTCAGTCTGGTGGATAAAATTGCGGGAACCAATTGAGCTGTCAAATAGCGGTACCAATCGAGCAAATCACGACCAACAACAGAAAAGAGCACATCAGCTATTGTGAACAAAACTTCGGAAACCGTTTTCTCGTGAATCACGGCTCGCCTACGAAAACAAACACCATCTTTGGGTTGGAGAAAGTTTCCCCTATCTGATGATGCTGGTAATTTGCGTTCGGTTGGCGAGGAAAGAATAATCAACGTTTTTTTTTTTTATAAAAAAAATGATAGTACCTTTTCAATAGTTGGTCTACAATATATTCAATTGGTTCCGCTTTTTGATAGATCGAAATTCTATCCGCCAGACTATAAATATAGCGACTATAGTCACCTCACCTCACTCGCGGCGCAGAATAAGGGAGATTGCTAATCTATTCTGTATTGAAAATTTGCAAGAATCTTAAGGATTACCTAATTTTAATCTGCACACTTTTTAGTTTGAACCCCGCAAACTAAAAATTGCTCAAACTTCATCTAGCACATGGAATACAGTGAAGCGAATGGAATGATGCGAAACGGAACGCAAAATCAAAACAAAACAGCAATAGGTCTACCAGATACTCGTGTTTTCTGATGGCCGTAGGGTTACTAGAAGATCAAATTAAAAAGGAACCCCGTTGTCTGCACTAAGTGCCGTTCAGATTAACGGAGGTCCACGGTAGAACCAGAGACCAGCGTTTCCAGATTGTTTTAAAGCTTGTCGGTATCGAAGGTATTAAAAAATCGGTATTTATCGGTATTAACTATTTAATTAATATTTTTTTGCAGTTTTCGAAAGCAACAATTTTAACAATGGGACTTGAGGGCAATTGCTTTGTTTAACGGGCAATTGCTTTGTTGCATTCTCAGTCTTCAATCACTCTTTAATTTTTTAATTTAATTTTTAAAATTATCGTTGTCCTCAAATGGTGATTGAAATTTTGACCAAGTAGTTGTTTTCAATTAAATATCATTTAATTAAACCGAAATATGGAAAATCAGCCACATCAACGACTAAACTATTGACAATAACGACAAACAATATTTTCATTTGGAAAAGGCCACAACCCATGGCCGAAATGTCGGGCAGATTACATCTTAGTCGTTGCAGTGTTTTAAGACTAAGAAAGCCGTTAATCAAAGCAAAATTGAAGCTTTTGAACTATGATCGTTGTAGGCCCTCGAATGTTCCTGCAACCACTTCTGAGTGCGGTTCGAGGTGTGGCACGGAGCCCCATCTTGTTGAAATACAACATTTGGCTTCGGACCGTACTGTCCTTTGATCCACGCAAGAACATACTTACTTAAAATCCCGATGTAGACCTCCGTGTTGACCTTGTCGCCTTCTGGAACGAACACCGGGTCCATTTTTTTGCAATCGGAAGCCACCAATCCAAACACCATAACGCTAGCAGGATGCTCGGTCAGATACACGTTCTTGTGCTCGTCGGCCACGTCTTTTACCGGAAGAGAACTAATATACCGGTCGGTTCTGGAATTTGATACGGGATCGACGGTAAACATGCTCTCGTCGGTGAACAGGTTTACCGGATTTTTTCGCTTAAGGAAGTTCAAAATTTTCTTGCATCGTTCGACTCGTAGCTCCCGGATGCGGTTGGTAATGATGTGAGTTTTTTCCGTGCCCTCGACTTCGCCCCGCAATCTTCCTTTACGATCTTCCGTGTCGTAAAGTCACTGATTCCGTGTTCCTTTGCCATTTTCCTTATTATCGAACCCGAATCTTCCTTTTGATAGCAGCGATAACCCTCAGAACCCGAGCTGACCTCGGACGACCTGTGGCCACCTTCGCGGATAGTTGTCCTTTTTTTCTCGGTCTAAAACCCTTTTGACGGTCCACCGGGACACTCCCACGGCGATTGAAATGTCTTTTTGCGACATTTGCGCGTGGGACAAATCACGAATACGCTGCCACTTCGTCATGGTGCAACTGTCAAACTAAGTAAATCATTTTCTTTTATACACAGCCTACTACACGGTAAGAAAAAAGTACCCAACGGCCAGTTCACTTTTACCTACTTTTGACTAGTTTGTCTCCTTTTCTCCTTCTAATGTTGTCAAAAACGGAGGAGCAAAACCACCCAACAGGGGTAGTAAAGTGTGGGAACCCAACGTTGAGTATAATTATATTTACCTACTGTTGGGTACAACTAATTTACTTTTGCGTTGAAATCTAATGGAAAATTCCATACGAATTGCACACAAGTAAATGAAAACTACTTTGACCCGCTTTACCTACTTTTGGGTTCCTGCACTATAGTGCCGAGATGAGTGAAAAGAACTTACTTTTGGGTACTTTTTTCTAACCGTGTACGGTATGAGCTATACACAGTTAGAAAAAAGTACCCAAAATTAAGTTCTTTTCACTCATCTCGGCACTATAGTGCAGGAACCCAAAAGTAGGTAAAGCGAGTCAAGTTAATTTTCATTTACTTGTGTGCAGTTCGTATGGAATTTTCCACTGGCTTTTTAACCAAAAGTAAGTTAGTTGTACCCAACAGTAGGTAAATATGATTATACTCAACGTTGGGTTCCCACACTTTACTACCCCTGTTGGGTGGTTTTGCTACTCCGTTTTTGACAACATTAGAAGGAGAAAATGAGACAAACTAGTCAAAAGTAGGTAAAAGTGAACTGGCCGTTGGGTACTTTTTTCTTACCGTGTAGGTTACGTGCATGCAAATAAAAGCAAGGCATTCCCAACAAACAATTTTAGTTGCAGACTAGCTTATACAGGCAAAAATTAACTGTATAAGCCAATTTTTGGCTGTATAAGCTAATCTGCAGCTAAAATTGTTAGTTGGGTTGTATGCACAGGTGAAACGAGAACCGTATTTGTACGATGGTGCAAACATTATCACGCATACGGTAGTTCGGAAATCGGTATAAATACTCGTATAAATACCGATAAATCGGTATATCTGGCAACACTGCCAGAGACGTTGATAGAAACGCGCAAAGAAAATTTCTGTCCAAACAGCAGCACGGTTTATGAGGTATCTTTTGGCAATGTCACTGGCAACCATGTTTCTTCGAGTTGCTTCAAATGACTTTCATACAGCGCGGCAATACAGTTGGGAAAATTTGAACGTTCGACCGGAACTGAATAAAAATGAAGTGCGCGGCAACGTTGTTCAGCGTTTGTCGGTTCGTTTGGTTCTTCTTGCTTCAGTCTATGCTTGTATCTATTCAACGTCTCTGGGTAGAACTGGCTGTGGTCCGTATTCCACCGGGTGTTCTTACCCCGTCTTCCCCCAGATGTAATCAATACATGTTTTATTTGTAAGTTACAAGAAGACGTTGCAAAGTATGTGTTTGACACATAAAACCTGTTAATTTCGCTTCCTGAGAGTCGTATTCAGCGATTTTATCAATTTTCACTCACTCAATGATCACAAAATCGCTGATTGTGACTCTTGGGCTGTGTTCCATTTGGTGAAAATTCACATAAATGTGACACTTCGAAAATAAATTAAAACGTTCGACAATTCCTCAGTTGTTGATTGGCCGATTTTCGAGAAGGTGTTTGTCAAAATTGATTCCTTGTCTGTCAGAAACAAGTCTGGTTGAATAGCAGGATTATAGGAAAATGTCCCATCTGTCGAATTTAAATGAAAATTCACCAAATGGAAATGACTCAAACCTCTTTGTAACTAACAAGTAGTTACATGTTTTTATGCGAAATGAGCGTTTGCACTTTGACCAAAAGTATAACCGCTATGAACTTTGAACTAAATCGCCGTAGATACAATTTAACTCAAACTCCTTCGGCTTCAAATGTACGTTGGGCTGTATCCAATCTAACCCTCTCCACAAAACACGCTCCCAACAAACATTGATAGCTGAATAGTCAGCTAGAAAATCCGCTGAACTTTCATCTACAATGTTTGCTGGACATCGCTTAATTCCCACCTGACCCAGTAACTGTGCGCATATAACGTTTCCGCTTTCACATTCACCGACGCCAAAACTTGGGAGAAAGGCATCCATTTTCTAACCACCCACTTTTACTTTCTTCTCGTCCCAAAAACAAACAGATCTCCGAGTGCGCCAAATGGGGTGGAACGAACATGGGCGCCACCATCATCTACTTTGCCATGCAGAAGCAGAAGGCCAATTCCCGATGAGCCGGATTAGCTTTAGAACTAGATCTAAAACGAGAGAAAGAGAGAGAGAGAGATATAGAGTACTAGTCCTGGTTTCCTGGAGGCCAAGCCTCCGGCCGAACCTGAAAAAGACGTGACTGTATTATTTTTTTTGCGTAGTTGAATAAGCGATTTTTGAGTACGAACAAGTACACTAAGTGTCACTGTGTAATACTGTTAGGATTATAAGAAAGGTTTAATGCACATATTGCTGTGTAATGATGTTAGGTTACTGTAAGTACAATTATCGTAAATATTTTTATAAAATGTAAAAAACTATTAAACCAAAATTTTGCCAAAGGAACGCAACGCAAGAAAGGACAAATCCACACCTGTCACAGTAAATCATTGTCCGGTACGTGATCGGAACAGAAGACAGGTCTCTGTTGTGTGGATGCGTTGCGGCTCTCGGCAGTAGGTACCTCTGTAAGTCCGTGTAAGCAGTGAAATGTGAAATATTTTCGCTAATTTTAGATGACAGCTTTCTGCGCCAAATTTGTTTTACGTCGATAGGGGAACTAGGGGCAAGAGTGCCACCCTCAATATATCTTGATAATGAAAACATTTCAATCCTATCTTACCATGAATCAATGCATGGTATTCCTATGAAGCATTCTGCAGAAACTTCTGTCCGAATCGAAGTCGTAAAAAAAATGCAAAAAATCATTTTGTGGTGATGTATTGAAAAGCTAGTTTTTTTTATAAGAATAAGGCATCATAAAATAACAATAGGCAACGGCATCATAACAATAAATTATTAAATATTTTCTCTAATTGATGAAAAATTATATTACTAAAAATAAACTTTATTCGGGGCAAGAGTGCCACCCCTACATTTATGTGTAAAATTGTATAAAAATGTTCAGAAATTAGCACAATGGGGTATTTATGTTTGCAATATACATTGTTTTCGTGAAATGTTGGAAAACAAACTGTATAAAAAATAGTATCTCAAACATAGTTTCCCTTTGAATTCTTTGGCGCACATGGTTTATATTTTTTGGTCAATATATACCATGTGGATAAGTCAATATTTTTGTGGAATAAACAATAAAAGCAGTTGCTTAACCATCCTTAAGAATGGTAATTTGTTGTTTATAAGTGAACATTTATCAGTTTTACTTCATTTTAGACCTATGGCCCTGTTGCCCAATAGCATTTTTTAGAAGACAAGGTTATAAACTTGCAATTCGGTGCACAAACTCCTATAAATATTCACGGAATCGCATATAACAACGCACTATCGTTAGGGTGACCTTCTTGCCCCTTGTTCCCCTAAGTGTAACATAGAGAATAAGATTGTATCAACTGTTCAATAAAGAAGATGTGAATTATTACCGACAACAATGCGGATTTGGGTTCTTTCCTTGTAGGCAGCCATTAAAAGACAGTCGAGCCGTTATTCGTTTTTTGTTCATGTATATTTGTATAAGAAAAAAAGATTTATTTCACATGTCCCTTTTGAAAATTACAATAGAATGAGTGTGAGAGTGTACTGAAATGTTCGTCTGCGTATGAGACGCTGTGTGTATAATTCAATTCTCGTTATAGTTGGAAACTTGGATATCATCGAACGTCTTTTTTTTTCTCTTTGCTGTAATTTCATATGTTTAAAATTCCTCCAACTCAATTCTTGATGTCTCCCTTATGCTTCGTTACAATAAACTTCCTAGTAAGAGTGATATCGTTTAACCTTTTTTTTCACATGTTGTTCAGTTCGATTAAAACCGATTTGAATTGTTGTAATATTTCCCTTTAACTAATTTAAACCACTTAAACCTAGTTGTCTTGAATTTAGAGTACTTTAAATGTAATGCAGATACTGAATTTAATGATCGACCTATGATGCGTGCTCGTGCTGTATACACGACTTCCTTCAGTATCATTCAGATCGTGGCACATGCTTGTTCTTGTTAACTGCCCTCCCGCTGTCGTAATTCGCTGATGCTCATTGCTCTCCTCAACCATCTTTGACCTACAACTCCGTAACTATCCGTATTGTTGCTGTTGTTCATTTTCCTAAACTATTCGAGAACTCCACGAATATACGGTGCAATTCAATCAAGCCCACTGATGCAGCAGGTTTACTCTTCCTCCTCCTACGACGTAATTTGGCTATAACGCGATTTCGAACCTCTCAATCTCCCTTTTCAATTTCTATTTCTTGTGAAATGATTTGAAATTTTATAGTTTTTTGTTTGTCTTGGGTTTATGTACAAATAGTAACGTAGTCTCATTTGTGTTACATGATTAGAACGATTAAAATAATTCTCCCTTCCCATTGTTACAATCATTGGCAGTTGTTGCGTATGTATGTGTGTGTGTTTTTTTGGATAATTCTTTAGATCTCGGGAGCTGGTTCTTTCCGATTACTTATGGAGCAAGTAAAACTAAATAGCATTGAATCATCTCCCCACTGATTACACGGTCAGAAATTGGTTCTAGCTAGGCGGCATTTTGTCTTATGACTGAGTGAATATATATTTGTGAAATGTGATTACTCCATGATTGCAAAGGCATTTGACGTGAAGCTGATTCAGTTGATAAAGACTAGAGCGTAGCGGCGGGGAACAAAACAAGTAAGTAGATTGAAAATTTTAAAAGTTTGTTTCGTCCATTGTCAGTGAAAATTATGTAGAGGAACTAGTCCTATTGTTGCGGTACGTTAGAAGCGTTAGAAGCCTATTGTTGTGTATGGAGGTCTTCATACACATCAATAGGCTCCTAGCGCTTCTAACGTATCGCAACAATAGGACTGTTTCCCCTATGTATTTAGTGTTGTACCTAATCGAATAGCTCAGATGTTGGCCTCAACGGTATTCCACTTGGGAACTTCGGAGGTGCAATTATTGGATTATACCGTAGTGTACCGTATGCGTGATAATGTTTGCACCATCGTACAAATAAGGTTCTCGTTTCACCTGTGCATACAATGCCTTGGTTTTCTTTGCATGCACGTAACCTCACGTAACCTATAGAGCTTTATGACGTTTAATCGGCGCACACTACTGCACCATTTAAATCGAACGAGTGCGAGCAAGTGGGAAACAGATTAGTGGGAAAACAAACCGTCCATCCATCCATGTGTGCTAGATAGAGAAAGACGATTAAAGGTCAAAAAGATCTATATAGCTCATACCGTAGTAGGCAGTGTATAAAAGAAAATGATTTACTTATGGTCAGTCCGCATCGTGCTCTCTTGCCGTGCGGATCTATTTGCTTTTTGCTGAAGGAAGTGTTACTACTACCTAAAGCTACAACAAATTTTAACAGCACTTTTCAGTGCTCAACCTGTAAAAAATTTCTACCTTGTTCAACTCTTATTCCTCTTCGATCCTTGTTTGGACCCTACCCGAGGTAATCCTTCTTGGATATCGATTTGGAAAATTCCTCTTCGATCCTTCAGATTCTTATAGTAATCTGCTTGGAAGTCGATTTGGATAAAAATTTACTGCCGCCATGGCGCCTAAACGCAAAAGAAAGGGGCAAACTCTTGACCCCCCTTCTGATGAAATTAATTTGAGTAATCAATTTGATTTGCTCACGGATGATGAGAATGATCCATCATCCAAGAAAAATTCTAGTAAACTTTCCCGGCTTAATGCCAAGAAGGAAAAGATTCCCCCTATTGTGATAACCACTACCGATTTCCATGCTCTTCGCATGGAACTTTTGAATTTCGTGAAAGTTAAGTTTTCACTACAAATTGGACGTCGGGGTGAATGCCGTGTATTGGCTGAAACCTTGGACGGATTTAAATGTCTTCTCAAGTATCTTACTGAGAAGAAGCACAAATTTTTTACTTACGACACCAAAACTGAACGTGTGTTCAAGGTTGTCATGAAAGGACTGCCCAGTGGTGAATCCCTGGATCAGATCAAAGATGAACTGGCAAAATTACTTGGAGTTGTGCCACTCCAAGTAATCAAAATGAAAATGAAATCCCGTCCTGGCGATTCGCGCAACGGGATTTCTAATGATTTTTATTTAGTTCACTTCAAGTCTAGTGAACTAAACAACCTTAAGGCCTTAGAAAAAGCTAGCCTTATGCTCCATGTCCGAGTGAAGTGGGAACACTTCAGGAAGACTGGAGGAAATTTCCAAAACCTCACCCAGTGCCGTAAGTGCCAGGGATGGGGTCACGGAACTAAAAATTGCTACATGCCAGCTAAATGCATGAATTGTGGTGATTCCTCTCACGCAAAGGACGACTGTCCTGTGAAGGAAGATCCTAAGAAATTTAAATGTTCAAATTGTGGTGAAAACCACAAATCCAATTTTTGGGAATGTAAGACTCGCAAAGCGATCCTACAATCTCGTTCTAACCGTCAGGTAGGAAACGCTCCACGTTTCCGACCAGGTACAAATTCCTCTGCTGTTAACAACGGTCAGCGAGGAACAAATTCTACATTCGTACCCGTAGGTACAAATATCTCCCCTGCTTCAAATGTTTCATCTGTACCTACTCCCCTCGCTGCTAACAATGTTCAGCGAGTTAATGGAGCTACCTATGCTGCTATTGCAGCGGGTAGAAATCAAAATACTAACCAACGTTCTAATGGAAATTTTGACAATTTTGACTTAGGAAGCATTACTGCCCCCAAAATGGAATTTTTACAGAATTCATTAATTGACATGATTTCTGATATGCTTAAATCTAACTCCATGTTTGATGCTATTCAAACTGGAGTAAAATTTGCAAATAATATTGTCATGACTTTAAAATTCAGTAATGGATTTTAAAGTATTAAATATTGTAAATTGGAATGCTCGATCTCTTAAAGATAATGAAGACGAGCTATTTAACTTTTTAAGAGTTCATAACGTGCATATTGCCGTTATAACTGAAACGTTCCTTAAACCTGCCCATAAGGTTAAGAAGGACGCAAACTACTTGATTTATAGAAATGATCGTCTTGATGGACCCTGTGGTGGCGTTGCCATCATTATTCATAGACGAATCAAACATAAAATTCTTTCTTCATTTGAAACCAAAGTTTTTGAAACTTTGGGGGTTTCTGTTGAAACAAAATTTGGACAACTTACGTTTATAGCTGCCTATTTGCCATTCCAA